CAGGAAATACTTTGTCAGATGTGTTAGCTAAGCAAGGGGTAAATAGGGAAGAAATATTTTGGGCTCAGTTGTGATTATTGTTCTTCTTTCCTAGTTTACTTGTAAGACTCAAGGAGGGGCTGCAGCTCATGCCTCTCGTTGGGATGATGTATGAACTCACTCTAAAGTTGCTTCTGAATCAATAAACTTATTATTATTCATAAAAAAAAATACCTCTTTTGAATTTCAGAGATGATTTCTTGTGTCTGCAACTCAACTTCTTTCAATTTTTTGAGCTTGTCCAGAACCTCTGGTGTTTGAGCATGGAGCGACTCCTCCAGGCTTCTCTTTTTATCCTCCAGAGGTTTATTCAAAGCATCCCTGCAGTAAATGTCAGACAATGTATCCTAAGACTAATAAACATGGTAGCAAAGAGAAGCCTGTAAAATTGTGATCTGTGACTGCTCAAAACAATCATAGGTTTGAAAACCTGTGGCTTAATAAAACCACTACAAACTTCATGAAACAAAAAATGATGGAAATGAACAAACAAAAAGCTCCTACCATTGCGATCCAAGTTCGACAAGATCATTTCTTCCTGCTTCTATTCGCTTATTGAGATCTTCAACGTACAAGTCAATAGGTTTTTCATGATCAGTTGCCATTCCTACCACTGCTTCAAGTACATTATATTCATATTGTAGACACTGAGATTCTAAAACCCTTGATGACAACTCCTCCAATAACATCTTTCCTTCACTGTGCAAATCCTTAATCTGGTTTTGTATCTGTAAAATGATCAAATACCAAATTTTTTCCATAGGAACTTTTACCTGATCTATTAAAGAATTATTCTTGCTAGAAAATGATCAAAATACCAAATTTTATCTTTGGATACTTGGACCACATAGTGTGCATAAGGGACTTCCTTTGGGAAGGTCGTGATGGTGAGCACATCATCTGCTGGCTTGGGATACAATTTGCAAGCCCGAAAAAGCTGGATGCTTGGGGCTTCGCAGCTGAAAACCCATGAATAAAGCATGTCTCTGTTTAAGTGGCTTTGGAGATTTGGAATTGAGAGGGAACATCTCTGGCAGAAGTTCATCAGTGATAAATATGGCACTGCACCCTTAGGCTGGGATACCCCTGTTCCATCTCAATCATATGATTGCAATCTATGAAAGGAATCGTGGGACTTTGCAAGGATTTCAGAAGACACTCAAATGGAGGCAGGTAGTGGAGTTTTTTTTGGAAAGACAGGTGGTATGGTGAAGAGGCTTTTGTGAGGTTTTCCCTTGTCTGTTTGCAATTGCTACCGATAGGGATGCCACCACCTGAGATTACTATGAATCCACAGAAGTGGGTGTGATTTGTTGCCCCCAGTTCAGGTGAAACATCAATGATTGGGAGGGTGGAAGATTTCTTCAGGCTGATGGACCTTTTTTGCAGAGCTAGCTTACAGTTCACAAGGTCTGATCACAGGCTGTGTGCTGTTTTCAATCAAATTGCACTATAACAAATTGGAAATTGGAGAGTTTCGGCAGTTTGGTTGTATGGGATAAGGCCTTAACGAGAGAGAATCTATCTCAAGAGGCATGGTGATGGAGGTTAGTTGTGGACTGTGTGGCAGGGAAGGGGAGTCAGCAAGTCATCTATTTATCCACTGTCCTGTTACCTCAGGCCTCTGGCATTATTTGCTTCAGCTGTTTGGAAGGCAATGGATCCCTCAAGAAAGGTTGGATTAGCTGCTTACATCCTCTGGAATCTCACACCGTTGGCTATCTGTTGGGCTCTCTGGAAAAATCAAGGTACTTGAGTTCTTGAGCTCAAGCCTCTTCACAGTACCATGGGCTTGACTTAGCATATCTTCAGTCGAATTAGGGGGACATTTTGCTATCTTAAGGTTTTCTTTTGGATGTAAAGTGGGGTATGGTGTAAATTCTTTTTAGCTATCTTTTGAGTATATATCTCTATACTCTCTTATAAAGTGGGGTGTTTTGCCCCTTCTACCACACACTAATAGAAGTACTTTGATACCATTTATCAAAAAAAAAATCTATCTGAATTAGTTCATTCATCAATTAAATTTTACCTCCTTTAAAATAAGTATACCTTGGATGAGTGCTCCTGAAGAAAAGCCAGATTCTGCTCAAATACAGTGTAGCTATTGGCTGGACTTTCTCTGACTCCATAAGAAGCCCCTTTTAAGTTTCCAGATTCTTCTATTAACTCCTTGACATCTTCCAGTCTTCTGCATCTCGCTTCCTTACTAGACTCTAGCGACCCTTCTCCAGATATGCCAACAGCACCTTTCTCAGCCTTATCTCGTGGAGCCAGGCAAGCATCAATGGGCCCATTAACAGAGAACTCCTTATCCACAGGACATGTAGTCTCTACCACCTCTGTCTCCAATTTCAGATCGTTTAATCCAGTTGTAACAATTAGCTGATTGAGATGTAACCTTGGATTATCATCCTTTTCTACTGTATCCTTCAGCACAACTTCTAATTTATTGTTTTCTGATCTTATTACACCATCAATTTTCTTGTTAGCATTTTTCCCACCTTCTGATGCTTCAGATAATCTCTCCACCAAGAACCTCACCAACTTATATGAGTCCTCTTCAGAAGGATACAGGAACTGCGGTAAGCAACACATATTTTCTACTTCTAAGAAGCATTTAGAACAATAAAAATAACAACCAAAATTAAAGGAATTAGCAGGAGTTCAGTTGCTAAAAGAATAAAAATGCACCTCAATCAACATATAACCTGCATCCAAGTAAAGTTGGCATAACTTAAAAGAAAGAAAAAGAGAGTGATGCCAATATTTCTTTTACAGGGATTGAATTTTCTAATAATGGAGAATTTGAAAATATATCATACTAAGACTTTGTGGTTGTTAGAGAATAAAAACCTATTCAGGCACCTCACCTAACAACTTAAGCTTTTAGGTTGAATGGTTGCTTGAGATGATATCAGAGCATGTTTGACCAAGTGGTTTAGTGTCATTTTTTATTTATATTTAATTTTGTCAAGGGAGACTTCTTTTAAAGACCTTATTAAAAATGATTTATTTACATTATTTATGATCAGCCACTATGTTTATTTTGTATCATATGTAGGTTAAAGAGTCATTCTAAAACTTGATTATATCATCTTAGGCTTCTATTGTATAAATAGTAATTCTATTGTTTTAAGTACCTATATGGTATATATATATATAGCCTTGTAATATATCTAAACTTTTTTTTCACAAGTTTGTAAAATATAGAAATAATCTTACGATTCATGATTTGATTCAATTCAACTTTCACTACAACTTATGATACAATTATGATTTTCAAAACATTGGTTGGGGGTTCTGAAAGTTTGGGAAATTAGGCATCCCTCTCTCATGCATTTAAATAAAAAATTGTTAGTATTCAGTCTGCTTGTTAGATTGATAACAGTCAAGGAAGAGAGAGAGAAGAGAGGAGAGAAAGAGAGAAAGGAGAAGAGCAGAAGAGAAACAAGGAGAAAAGATTCTGGTTCGAATGAGAGAAAATGTTCACTCTCCCATTTGGCCAAATGTATTTTATATTACTAAAATAATGTGGAAAAGTCACATATGCCCATACTTAAGTTAGGGAATTAAATCTAACATAAACTTACACATCAGCACCTAAACACAAGCACAAAGACAAGGGCTGCAGTATGTTGGACATTGTGGGAAGAAAGAAATTCCATGATATTCTCAGAAACCCAAAGAGGAGCAGAAGATCTGAGGGCTATCATACATATTAGGGCGGTACAGTGGCTGAAATATTTGGAACTATTCACAGATTACACTATGGATGACATGTTGAGGAAGTGGGGTGAAATTGCAAATTGTGCACAGACCAAGTCAGTAATGAACGTGGCTTGGACTCCCCCACCTAGTGGATTCTTGAAATTAAACTTTGATGGATGYAGTAGGGAAAATCCGGGGCAATCGGGGATTGGAGGTGTTTTTAGGGACGAAAATGGGGTCATCTCTGCCATGTTCTCAGGCCCAATTGGAGTGGGTGACTCCCTTAGAGCTGAGATCTTTG